CTGCATAGTATTGCATTGTATGAATATACCACAACTTCTCAATCTATTTGTTTGTGCTTGGACATCTGGGCTGTTTCCATGTTCTTGTGATGGTGAATAATGTTGCTATGGACATTGGTGTACAAATATCCTTCTGAGCCAAGTTTTCACATTCTCAGGGTATATTTCAAGTAATGGAATAGCTGGGTCATATGAAATTTCTATGTTCAGCTTTTTGAGAAAACATCGAATTCCTTCCAAAGTGGTTGTACTATTTTACAATCCCACCAACAGTACATATTGTTGTTGTTACATAAGAGTTCCTATTTTGCCACATCCTCTGCAACATTTATTACTTGCTGTCCTGTTAAACTTTGCCATGGCTACTGGAGAGAGATGGTATCAAGGTGTGATTTTTTTATTTGCATCTCTCTTATTGCCAGTGATTTGGAGCATTTCTTCATGTGTCTATTGGTCATTTGCGTATCTTCTTCTGTGAAAAGTGTTTCCATGTCTTTTGCCCATATTGTAATTGGTTTATCAGTCTTTTTCTTGTGGAGACACAGGAGTATTCTGTAAACTTTTGTTAATGACTGTTGTATGAGACACACTGCTTTCTGAAATGGCTCAGTGAGGTTCTGTTCTCTATGGAAGTGACCTGTACATTCCTTCCATCTTATTTTGGTGATTCCTGAACCACTCAAGATTTTTTTTCTTCCCCCGTAGAATCCTTAACTATTGTAACTAAAGGCTTGAATTTGTTCTAACATTCTTTCAGCTTGTGAAATGGTCTTCCCATTTGGCTTTTCTAACTCCTAGTCTTGGCTCAGTTCATCATAACATGTCTTTTCAATCTGCTCTTTGGAAACTTCTATTCTACTCTTTTGCTTCTTCTAAAGCATATTTTTCTATTATAAATGGAGGTATTTTAATTCTTCTATAAACTCAAGTTAGACAGGTTAAAAATCTTGGACACTCAGACTTATTTATAAATTCAGTTTCTTTTCCTTAAACAGTTTAATTTTCTAAACTTAAAATTTTATAATTTTACTCATTTTTATTTTTCATATTCCTTATACAGACAGGGCCAGTTTAAACCCTAACAACAAAACATTGTGGTTAACCTTGAGGAGAATAGGAATCCCAGAATACTTGATTGTGCTTATGAGAAATGTATACTTGGACCAAGAAGCAGTCGCAGAACAGAGTAGGGAAACACTTCATGGTTCAAAACCAGGAAAGAAGTGTGTCAGGGATGTATGTGTCCTGTCTCCATACCTTTACAGTCTATGTGCAGAACAGATCATTCAGGAGGCTGGGCTTTATAAGGAAAAACATGGTATCAGGATTGGAGGAAGACTCATCAACCTTGCTTGCTGAAACTGAGGAGGACCTGAAGCTATGATCTTGAAGCTATGGATTGAAGCTCAATATCAAGAAGACAAAGATTTTCACCCCTGGGCCAATTGACAGGACCATAACAGATGAAGAAGAGATTAAGGTTGTTGACAATTACAGCTTGCTTGGCTCCATAATCAACATTCTTGATACCAGCAATCAGGAAATGAAGAGACTAATTACACTGGGAAAATATGCTGTCAGTAACCTCTCCAGAGTACTGGAAAGTCAGTCTAGAGACTATGGTGTGCCTGATCCAAGCCATGATCTTTGCAATTATTTGCTATGCATCAGAGGACTGGACAGAAAGATGAAAGAATAGATGCCTTCGAGTTGTGGTGCTGGAGAAGAGTCTTGAACATACCATAAACTACCAAGAAAGCAAATATGTCTCTCTTAGAGAGGGTGAAACCAAGTGTCTCCTTGGAGGCTAGGATTTTAAAGCTCCATCTCACGTACTTTGGACACGTGGCCAGGAGGGACTGGTCCTTGGAGAAGAACATCATCCTCAAAGGATGGAGGGACAATGCAGGAGAGGAGGACCCCAGATGAAATGGACTGATAAAATAACTGGGATAATATGGATAGGTGTGTAGAAGTCAGTAAGACTGGCTTAGGATAGGGCAGGCTTCAGAGCTGCTGTACATAGATAGGGTTGCTATGAGTCGCCCGTGACTCAATGGCACATAACAACAACAGTGTAGATATAAGGAGTTCTAGTGGCTCAGTGATAAGGGATTGTGCTGCCAACACAAAGATAGACAGTCCAAATCTACCAGCTGTCCCCAGGAGAAAGACAGGCAATTTCCTTCCATGAGATTTACTGCCTCTGAAAATCCACTGGTGGGTCAGCTGTGACTTTATGATACACAACAATAACAACAAAGTAGACATTAGCTCTGGTGGCCTCG